TGTAGGCGTAATCCAAATCAGTTTCAAGGTGGGTTTGCGTCCGATGCTGCTAATGATTGGATCTAGGACTTAGAGAAGATATTTAGAGTCATGTGTTGCAATTACAACCAAAAGTGACATATGCTTCCTACATGCTGATTAAGGAAGCGGAGAATTGGTGGGAGTATACACGGAGGCAGATGGAGGTAGAGAGACAAGTGGTTACTTGGGAATCGTTCAAATCAAAGTTCCTCCAGAAATATTTTCCTGCCGATTTGTAGAGGAAGAAGGAAATGGAGTTTCTGCGGTTAGAACAAGGAAGCATGACCGTAGGGGAGTATGCTGCCAAATTTGAGGAGTTGGCGAAGTTTTGCCCATACTATGAGTTAGATGCTGATGGGATGTCGAAGTGTGCTAAGTTTGAGGTTGGCTTGAAGCCAGAGCTGAAGATGATGTTCGGGAACCAAGAGATTACTGAATTTCCTACCCTGGTCAACAAGTGTAGGATGTTTGAGGATGATATACAGGTCAGGGATGTTGCCGTGAGCAAGACAAACCCCTTTAAAAACTTCAGACCCCAACAAAATCATATGCAAGGAAGATGTAAAGGAAAGGTGTTCTATGAAAACCGGAAGCCCTATGCTCCACCCCGTGATTATCGAGGGCATAGTTCACAAGGATCGAAACCCCCTACCGCTGCGGGAGGACCACAACAAAACTCTTATCTCATGTGCAACAAATATGGTCGGAAACATTTTGGGAATATGTGTCCCTGATCAGGGAATGGTTGTTTCCACTATAGGGAACTAGAACATGTGAATAGGTTTTGTCCGAAGCTGAATCAATGTATGAATATTGTGAGGGCTGGAAAGCCTAGGACAACTAGCAGAGTATTTACCATGAGTGGTGCTGAGGCGATAGACGCTGGAGGCCTAATCCAAGGTAATTGTATGGTAAAAGGTGTCCCACTTTTTGTATTGTTTGATTCAGGAGCGACACACTCTTTTGTGTATTTTGATTGCGTGAAGCAATTAAGCTTGCAAACTGAGTCGTTGCCTTTCGATTTGGTTGTATCCACCCATACTAATGCACTTGTGGTGGTGTCGATGTTTGTTTCTCAGTGTCCGGTAGTGGTACGATAGAACCTTTTACAATAGACTTGATATGCTTACCGCTATCACAATTAGATATAATTCTTGGGATGGACTGGCTATCGGAAAATCATGTGCTGCTGATTTGTTATGATAAGACAGTGGTGTTTGGAGATCTTAGTGAGACTTCTGACATTTGTAGATGTCAGAAACCCTTGTCAGCTAAGGAAGTTAAGACTCCCCTTAAGGAAGGGGCGTTGATTTATGTTTTATTAGCTTCCTTAGAAGGAGATAAGAAACCATAGATTGAGGATTTGCCTATAGTATGTGAATTCCCAGATGTGTTTCCTGTGCATATTCCAGATTTGCCACTTGTGAGAGAAGTGGAGTTATCCATTGATTTGGTGCCAAGGACGAGACCTATCTCTATAGCTCCTTATAGGATGGCACCATTAGAGTTGGCTGAGTTGAAAAAAGAAAATAGAAGATTTGTTTGCCAAGAAATTTATTCGTCCAAGCGTTTCGCCATGGGGTGCATCGGTGTTGTTGGTGAAGAAGAAGAATGGTACAATGAGGCTATGTACCGATTATAAGCAATTGAACAAAGTCACGATTAAGAACAAGTATTTGTTGCCTAGAATTGATGATTTGATGGATCAGTTGCGAGGAGCTGTGGTATTCTCTAAGATTGATCTCCGATCAGGTTACCATCAATTCAGAGTAAGGACATAAGATATTCCTAAGATTGCTTTCAGGACAAGATATGAACATTTCGAATATCTTGTAATGCCATTTGGTGTGACTAATGCCCCAACAATATTTATGGACTACATGAATAGGATTTTCCATCCGTATCTAGACTATTTTGTTGTGGTGTTTATTGACGACACCTTAGTGTTTTCTAAGAGACGAGAAGAATATGTGGAGCATCTGAGAGTTGTATGGGAGTTCTAAAGGACAATTATCTTTATGCTAAATTGTCGAAGTGCGACTTTTGGCTTGAATCTGTGAACTTTCTTGGACATGTGATATCTAAGGAAGGAATGGCAGTAGACCCTTCTAAAGTCGAGGTGGTTATGGAATGGGCTGTATCGAAGTCGGTAACTGAGATTAGGAGTTTCCTTGGATTGGCCGGTTACTATTGGAAGTTTATTAAACGATTCTCGAAGTTAGCTTTCCCACTGACTAAGCTGACTCGGAAAGGAGAACCGTATGTTTGGACAATCAAATGTTAACAAAGCTTTCCAGAGTTAAAACGAAGATTGACTTCGGCACCAGTGTTGATTCTTCCTTGTGTAGGCAATGACTTCAATGTTTACTATGATGCTTCAAAGCAGGGTTTGGGTTGTGTGTTGATGCAAGGTGGGAATGTCATTGCTAATGCATCGAGGCAGTTAAGACCGCATGAGCAAAACTATCTGACCCATGATTTAGAATTAGCCGTTGTGGTGTTTTCTTTGAAGATTTGGAGGCACCACCTCTATGGTGTAAGATTTCAAGTCTTCAGTGATCACAAGAGTTTGAAGTATTTGTTTGATCAGAAGAAGTTGAATATGAGACAAAGGAGGTGGGTGAAATTTCTCAAGGATTACGACTTTGGTCTTCATTATCATCCCGAGAAGGCTAATGTAGTAGTTGATGCATTAAGCCAAAAGTCCCTGCATGTGTCTGCACTAATGGTCCGCGAGACGAAACTGATAGAGGATTTCTGAGATATGAATTTGGCAGTTTGAGTTAAGGCACATAGTTTGATCTTGGGAATGCTTAAGGTCACAATGAGTTATTCGATCGGATAAAAGTGATGTAGATGAGTGATTAGGGGCGACTAGCTAAGAAAGTCTTGATGAACAATGGGAAGGAGAAGGACTTATCTGAGGATAAAAAATGGATTGTTGAGATACAAGGGAAAGATATGTGTGCCTTATGATGCGGAGTTGAGGAAAATTATCTTAGATGAAGCCCATAAGAGTAAGATGAGCATTCACTCTGGAACGACAAAGATGTATCAGGATTTGAAAAAGATGTTCTGGTGGTCAGGAATGAAAAAGGATGTGGCTTTGAATGTATCAAGTTGCTTGATTTGCCAGAAAGCCAAGATCGATCAGAGGCCGGCAGGTGAACTGCAGTCATTAGAGATTCCCGTTTGGAAATGGGGTAGTATCGCAATGGACTTTGTGTCGGGCTTTCCAAAGACTCAAAAGGGTTTTGACTCG